GGCCTTTCGAGTGCGACGTCGCCTTCCCTGTCTTACCTCTCCCGGGGGCATGTGATCTCTTAGTCCGACTTTGGGGCAGTTTGATCTAGGCTGCACGATCCTGAGAGGTAAAGGATATACCTAGATCTGGATCGTTCAGTGCATGAAGATATCACGGGCTCCCAGTTGATATTAATACAACGTGATCGAAAAGAAATGCACAAACGAGTGTCATATTCCTACAAATTTCATTCCGTCAAAAAATTCCACAAGCATCAAATCCAAAAATCGTAGCCACAGCCCCCAACCGGCGGCTGGTTCTCGGTGTGGCACAGGGTATCATGAAGCCCCCCAACTGACAGACTCCAGGACGCCGCGCTTCCGAGTAGCTAATTAGACAGAAAATCAAAAACAGGGGGGTTAAGAAGGGAAAATGGGCTGAGCAGTCCCATCTGCCCCGTCAAATTCCCGGCACTGAGGCCACAGATTACCTCAATCAAGCCGATTCATCATCGCCCTTGGTGGCATTGGCGATTTTGATCTGCTCCACGTCCTCTGCCTGGCCCTCGAGGACCTGCATGGCTCGCTTCTCGCGGTTGTGCAAGACCATGATGCCCATCACCAAGCCGGCCTGGAGGATGTTGTTGGCCATGACCCAGAACCAACCGAACTTGAATCTGGGGGCTATTTTTCTGTCAGGAGTCGTCCTATCAATGACTCAATGGGGAACGCGTTTCTTACCTAGAGGTGTAGGGAATGTCACAATGTTCAAGCCTGCGAGAAGAGCCTGGCCGACTGCGTTCATGGAAGCGACGACGACAGCACGCTCTTCAGCAGATCGGAATGTGACCTCGGAAGCCCAAGACATGAACAGCGGGTTGAGCGCACCGCCGAGCCCGGCAACATAAAAGGCAAAGAACTTGAGTCCCTCGGGAATATTCCACACGGCCATGCAGATCGAACCGACAGTCATCCAACCGCAGATCCAGATGGAAGGCAGCCAGCGCTTACCCGTCGCATCAGCCCAGTAGCATCCAACCAACGCCGCCACAATAGAAATTGCAGACTGTCCGGTGGGAAGGTTGTTAATCTGACTGATGGAGTAACGATCGTTGTTCGCCTTGAGATACAGGTTGAAAGGCTGTCCGTTGGTGATCATGGCCTGGTTGAAGACAAAGTACAAGCCGACAAAGGCGTACCAGTGCCAGCCCTTGAAGACGTCGGTGATGGCCTTGCGGTCGAACTTGACCTTGGGGGCCTCGGATCCACCCTCGGAGACGCGGCGGCGAGCAAGGGCGATTTGGTCGGATGTCAGGAGCCACGAGGGGTTCTTGGAATCGGGTCGAGCGGGGAAGACGACGGCGCCGAGGATGGCTACGGGGAGGGTGATGCAGCCGCAGACGATGAAGAGCCAGCGCCATCCCTCGAGGCCATTGACGCCGTTGAGGTTGGTGTAGCAGGCGGTCTGGAAGTAGCCGGCAAACATCTGATTGTGTCATGTTAGCCATGCAGCGTTGAAAGTATGAAACAGAGATGCACTCACAGTTCCCAGAGGACCCGCAACGTAGAACAAACTCAGCCGACGTGAGATCTCGGTGCTCTTGTACCAACATCCGATACAGTAGATGACGCCAGGATAGGCCACACATTCAAACACACCACTGAAGAATCGGATGATATAGACATGCTTGATATCTTTGACGAAAGCCGTGAGAAGAGTCAGGATGCCCCAGAGGATCTCGAACGCTGGGATAAGAATGTTGGGCCTGCAAAGGTGTCCGTGTCAGTCTTTGGGCTCAATTTCGAACATATAAATATCCAACTATTTTCCTGGGCCTATTAGACTTACCGAACACGAGTGAGAATGATGTTGGAGGGAATCATGGCAGCGCAGTATCCTGCTTGGAAAACACCAGTGGTATATTGCAAGTCATTGCCTTGCATGCCAACATCCTCTTTCATTCCACTGACGTAGGCATTTTGGAAGGCTTGGAGGTCGAGGAACTATTGACAAAGTCAGTCAACATTACACAACCCTATCAAGGTCGCAACTTTAAACCACCTTTGTGAAGAAAGTGAGGCAACCAAAGGTCAAGATCATGAAATCCTAGCACTTGTTAGAAGCTGCGTGATTATTCCGCATTCAGACCCAGTGGACCTACAAGCTTGCGCAACAACACCTTCTCTTCCTTGGAGGTATTACGCTCGTACCAGCGCCACTTGTCCAGCCAACTGGCATTGGTAACTGGCTCCTCGCGGACGCTCGTAGCCACGGTGTCGCCCGCCATGGTGTAGTTCGCCGGTCGCCGAGGCAATTCGCACGAAGGAAACTCAGGCTCAGCAACACGTAAGCCGTACAACCAACCGAAATTGGTCACTGAGAAAGTGTTGTGCAGCTTCGTCGAGGTGGAGCTGACGAGCAGAATGCTGTCAAAGGGCAACGGGGAATTGATGAGAGGCGGAGCAGATGAGTAGGGGGCTGCTGCGGTCGGAACAAGCAGAGGCGGACGAGGAGTAGTGGCGTGATCGCGTATTATACTCAATGCACCCGTCTATCTCTCTCCTCATGCTCCTCACGAAAGGCACGTCTCGGCTATTCACAACCGGATTTGGGAGTTGTTGGTTGACATTGAGAGGTGTGGCGCCCTTCATTGCCCCCCGGACGTAGTTACGTGGTGTTGCAACGCGCGCCAGAGATAGGCATCACCGGACAACCCAAGCGAGTCGTGAAAGTACGCCCAAGGAGTTGACAGGGCATGCTCCACCTTCGTCCACACAAGCGGGATGGTTGCAGAGAGACTAGAGAGAGACTAATTACCATGTCAAGTAATCAAGCTGGGAGATAAGGAGGGGGGATAAGCGTTGGTGTGTTGCAAGGATCAGACGAAGCTAAATGGTGGAGCTCCTCATAGTTGTCAAGCCATGCCCGTATCTTTCAAGTCTGAATCCCTTCAGACGCCCTGACTATTCCGCTCGCCTCCACCTCTCCTGAGATCCACAGCATTCGCGGGGTACGGCATACGACGGCCGGAGATCTCGCCGCGGCCCCTGCTGCGTCGGATGTCATGATGTTGGGGGTGTTGCTAATACAAACGAGGCGATTTGTCTCGAGTCAATTCGGCTCTTGTTGAGAGGTCTCGTTAGGGTGGGTGTTAGTGTGGAGCATTGTCCTCAGCTGTCATAAACACCACACCAGTCCACGTCCGAAGGCCGAAGTGCATCAGCACCACTCTGATAGAGAAACTGGAGGAAGATGTTTTGGAAAGAGGAGCTGGAGCCAAGACTTTGGATTTAGCTGTCGAAAGACAATCATCATGGGGAAGAGACAAAATCACCGAGTCAGTAGAATGCAGAAAAGCGTCCTTGCTTCTCTGAAATTTTGGCTGCGAGATGGCGCATTGTGATAATTAAGTTGAATTATACATATCATCTATATCCAAGCACTACACTTCGAGATATGACAGCAGAGTTCGATTGTAATATTCCAAGCTTCACTCAGTGCTCTCCGACCAAAGAAGACCTCGATTATGTTGACCTTGTCAACCTCGATCTCTCAAATTTTGACGACAACAACCACCGCCAACAACTAGCTGCGAGTCTCTTGAAAGGAGTCACCCGCCACGGCTTCCTATCTATCACCAACTATGGCGTTCCGGAAGCACTCTACTCCTCCCAGGTCGATCTAGCCCATGCCCTACTTACTCTCCCACCAGAGGAGAAGTGGCCCTTCGAAACGACACCCGAACAAGAAAAGAAGGGACTAAACATTGGGTTTAAGCCTTCGGGAAGCCAGAAACATAAGCAAGGGTTTCATAAGACCTTGGATCATTACGATTTCCCGGCTACTACATATTCTCGTGACGATGAGCATCCCGGACTTTTGCATTCGCACCTTGCTCAAGTCGAGAAACTTATAAGTTACTTTCGTCAAGACTTACTGCCTAAACTTTTGGCACTCGTAGCGATAGTACTAGAGGTGCCAGAAGGCCACCTTCTTTCCACACACGCGTCTGCCACACAGCCATGCTCAGAGTACCTACGATATCTGCTGTATCATCCACGCCCTGCAGAAAGTGGGACGCAATACCGAGACTTATGGCTGGGAGGTCACACTGATCTGGGCTCCTTCACATTCCTCTTTTCTCAGCCAGTTTCATCGTTGCAGATACTGCCACCATCCGGTGACTGGAAGTGGGTGCGCTACGTCCCTGGGGCCCTCATCGTTAATGTCGGTGAGGCCTTGGAACTTATGACAGGTGGACTCTTCCGGGCTACCGTACATAGAGTTGTCAAGCCGCCGCCAGATCAGGAAAGAGCGAAAAGACTGGGCATCATCTACTTTGCCAGGCCAAAGGACGACCAACAACTTCAACCCCTCGACAGTCCCCTGCTTCGAAGGCTGGGAATCCATGAGCACCTCGACGAGAAAACTTTCACAATGACACGATATCTACATGCAAGAAAGCATGGATATAAGAGATTAGACTTTGACCATGCCCGGTCAAGGTTGGAGGGACCGGGGGCTGAGGCTGATGTAGGTTCGCCGCATGGAGAACATGCACTTCCGTCCCTTCATGGTCTAGAGGTTACAATCTGAATAAGAAGACTTGTTCTTGTCCAAAGCCCACTTTCTTCGCTACATAAGCCGTTTTCCGTGTCCGAGAAAGTGAGGCTCATCGACACCATTCTCGGGCCCCATCAACCCCCTCCACAATGATCCACCACCATCCTAGTCGCTTCATGAATCCGCATCCAGCTCCTGCATCCCAATCCACTTGAAGCATCACCAGCTTCAACCGCGTCGATGGTTTAGTGGTAAAATTCTCCGTTGCCATCAAGCAGCGTCGGGGAGCCGGGGGTTCGATTCCCCCTCGACGCAACTCTTTTGCTGTGCGGCACCTATATCGCCAGATTTTTGCGTGGGAAGAAGTTGGCAGTCAATTTCAGGTATTGAGCGAAGGACATGAGCCACTATTCCATGATTCGAGTTGTCTTGGTATCATTTGGGCGTGTAGTTGCATCTACTTCTTTGCATCTCTTTCCTTGCAAGCATCAGAGTAAAAGTCGAGACCAGCCTCCAGACGCACTGCACCATACATGGAACTACTATCCAACGGCCTCACTGCTTCAAACTCTCTAGCCTTTTCCATATGCCTCAATGCAGCCTCGCTAGTTTCCAGCTTCGTTCCCGCATCCTTGGCACACGTGAGTGCATGCCTCAAATCCTTCATCGCCAGCGCCACATCGAACCCAGCCTTGCCATCAGGTGGCGGAGCGTAGGAACCACTGGTAATGCGCTTGCTGTAGCTCTCAAGAACGGGGCCGAACATGTCCGAGATCATGTTCTCCAGCACCGGCGAGCCGAGGCCCGTTTTCTCGGCAAAGACGTGGGCTTCGGAGAGGACCTCCATGAAGGAGACAACTACGATGTTCCCGGCAATCTTGAGCAAGCTTGACTTGGTTACATCTGTGCCCATGGGGATGACGGAGCGTCCCATGACGCCGTTAAGGTATAGAGAGATGGCTGAGGTTGCGGATTCGGGTCCGGCCGTGACGAAGATGAGTTTGCCGGCGGCGGCCATTGCTGAGGCTCCGAAGACGGGGGCTATCCAGCGTTAGATTGAAATAATCGTCTAAACAACGACCGTAAGTGAACTTGCCAGCAACAAACTGGCCCCCGGCCTCGGTGATTTGTTTCGAAACAGCGGCGGAAGTATCGGGGTGAACGGTTGAGCAGTCGACATATATCTTGTTCTTGATATCTCCAGACTTGATGATCTCATTCGTTGTCTCTTGGAGAACGGCATCGTTGCTCACCTTGATGGATTCGTCAGAACAATCAATCGCATAGGGCGTTCTCGGGAGAGAGACTACACTTACACAAGAGAAGATGATCTCAGACTTCTTAGCTACCTCCGAAACAGTCTCTGCGGGAATGGCACCCAACTCCTTGAGGGAATCGCCGCGTGATAATGTCCGGTTGGTGTAAATCAAGTTTGGTGCTCCGGATGAAGAGAGAAACTTTTGCAGGTTGGTGGACATGCCGATGCCCATTGAGCCAAGCCCAACCCATCCCACTTGTTTTTGCGCCATTGTGAAGATTTGAGTGATTGATGCAAGTCGCGCGATACTCTCCGACTCTATGTGAATTCATGAATATCTCTCAAACACCTCGCCCGACTCTTCGTGGCTATTGCAGACGATTTGTGTTGATAAACACTTGGCCAGTTTGCCGATAGCGGCGGCCGAGGCCCGAAGCACCGGGCGACGCCTCCGAAGTGACTGGCCGGTTGAGGTCCCGGTCCCTGCAGATCTCACAGACGGTTTTTTGTGGGTGCGATGACCTAGCACCATGCTACCCCAAGGTGTGCTCCACGTGGAGAAGGGGTCTTTCGTTTTGAGCTCCACGTCGTGATGGCTATGATAGACGCAGATATCGTGGAGTTGAGAATGCGGTATGAGTCGCAGCTTGCGTCATAAACAATGGAGATGGACTCGGTCAACTTGCCGCGTTGGCAAGTTGTTGGTTTTATTAACCAGATACCGAGCTGGAAATTGCTTGTTCAGCACTGTTGCTGTCGTCATTCCCAACTCTGCCCTCACACCATTATTCTTGTGTCACAAATACTGCAAAGGCTCAATCTTGCAACATGTCTTTCGGAAAGCTTTACTGGTACCCCAAGGCGCCTCGCGCCACTCAGTGTCTCTACATCGCAGAGTACAACAAGTGAGTTCTTGACGCAATATCAGCCAGATTCGCGATGCGCGGATGCTAACCATGGTGTCACTACCAGGCTTGATATCGAGTTCGTCGAGGCATGGCCGATCAAGGTGGACGCTAGCAAGGGCGGCGTTGGCGAAGATTACCTCTCAAAGTTCCCTCCGGGCAAGGTGCCTGCCCTCGAGCGCCCCAACGGCTTCACATTATTCGAGTGCATTCCTGTTTCCATCTACCGTGAGCATAGGATACTGCCCTGGTGCTTTTGCTGGGAAGCTGACATTGTGTGCCAGTCGCGAAGCAGGACCCCAAGACCAAGTTGCTCGGCTCCACCCTCGAGGAGGAGGCCACGATCCTGAAGTGGGCCTCATTCGCAAACAGCGAGCTTCTACCTCCCATTATGGCGTGGATTAACCCGGTTATCGGCAAGGCACCTTCATCACCAGAGATTCTTGCCGCGGCCGAGAAGAACAGTGAGGGAATGGTCAGTGTGGTGGAGAAGGCATTGACGGACAAGAAGTTCCTCGTTGGCGATGAGCTCACGATAGCCGATCTGTTTGTGATTGCTGCCATTGCTAGAGGATACCAATTTGTGAGTGCCCGCCTCTGGCTGCAGAGGAGAGATTCCCGGGAAACCAACGTCCTTCACCCGACTTCGGAGAGTGTCACTGCGAATGCTAATAACAAATTGTCGCAGGTGTTTGCCAAGGAGTGGACGGAAAAGCACCCCGCCATCCACGCGTGGTACTGGCGCATCAAGAGCGATGACATTTGGAAGAAGATTGACGGCGAGCCGTACGTGCTGGACGTGCCCGGAGGCAAGCCGATCTGAAGGTGGACAAAACGACTCAGACGTGACAAACTGTAGGGGTCCAGGCCCGGCAATCCAATCGATATCCGAGGGGCAGCGAGGGGCAGCGAGGGGCAGAGGAAGATAGAGAGACGCGTTTGAAGGGGGGACCCGGAGCTGGTGAAGCGGGGAGTTCTCCGCTTCCGAGAAATAGCGGGGCCGGTTATCGATGCCCGAATCGCCAATTGAGGTGACCTGATTGGCTGCGCGGAGGCGGATAGTAGCGAGTTTGACTTAGCTAATCAAATTGTCCACATGAGTGAGGTACCTTATCTGTCACGTGGGTGGACAGGCTTAACCCAATCGAGAAATATGTATCTTATCTACTTATCCGTCGCCGCCGGCGTCCACTCGGTACGTACCTCCGAGGGGTCCTCGTCCACTTCCATTCCGTGAAGTTCCCCTCGGTGCCGTCCTCTTCCCCCAGACTTTGGCAAGAATCCATGGCGATGTCCACGTTCGCATTCTCCAACAAACAAACACGATATTCTCTTCTTTTCCACGATGGATGAAAGTCTTCCTCGTCCTTTCAAGTGCGCCACATGTAAGAAGGGGTTTACCCGTCAGGTATGCAAACCCTCTGGCATCGTGCTCTGCTGTTAGTCGTCACTAACACGACAGCTCCATCGCATAGGAGAACCTCAAGCGCCATGTAAATACGCGTGAGCCAGCCCATCTTTGTCGAAAGCGCAGCATGAGAAGCTCACCTCCGTCAAGATCACAGAGGCAGGAATGCGCCATGTTTCCCATGCAACCAGTGCAGCGCACGATTCGCGCGGAGGTACGGCCCAGCCATCGCGATCCTGCTCAGCTTCATAACCCAGCAGCCAGTACTTTGCTAGCATTCCAGATCAGGTTTGCTGACAACAATGATAGCGATCTGAGGAAACGACATGTAGAAAACTGCCATGTCTCCTCCCAAGCTTCACCACCCAAGACGGCACCTCCTCCTCCTCCAGCCATTAATACACCACATATCGACTCGCCCAGCACGACCGCTTGGATGGACGTCTTATTGACACACCCACCGCCAGCTCAGAATGAAGTAGCAGAGCCAATGCAGCAGCACACCCAGACCTATGAGCCTCCATCTTCAGCGTAAGTTTGCGAACAGCTCAAGCTTCGTCTGGCACTAACGCTACGCCCACAGAATATCCAGCGAGATTCGATGCGTCGAGGCTTTCTTCGATGGGTTCCACCGGAACTTTCCCATTTTACACGAGGGATCATTCCATATCGTATCGACACAAGTTCCTTTGTTGAACGTAATCACCGCTGTCGGAAGCCTCTACTGCGAGTCTCCGTTCGACGAGGCCGCTCGGAAGGCCGTGTTCGAGTCTACTCTATCTGCACTACAACAATATGTTAGTATGCCAAACTGTTGTTACCCTCTAAGCCGGGCTGACAGAATGCATAGGTCGAGCAGAACCGATCACGATACCAAGAAATATGGGTTCTTCAAACTTTTCTCCTCCTTGAGTTCCTCGGCATCTACGGCGGCAACGACACGAATTTTCTCAAAGCTCAGCGCATTCACCGGGACCTAATTGACGCGATACGGCTTCTCCAGATGTCCCAAGACAGTTCCCTAGAGTCTCTGTCTACCAGCTGTGGTGAAGACAGTGGATATGGCGAGGAGGGCGACGAAGACGATATCAACGAACCGGTCAGCGCCGAAGCGCTCAGTGATCAATGGCAGGACTTCATCAAGAAGGAATCCAAGAAACGATGTGTCTACATGCTCTACCTTCTCGATTCGCAACTCGCCATCCTCTGCAACCTCAGACCCATGCTCTCCTCGCTCGAGATCAAGTACGATTTGCCCTGTTGCGAGGATATCTGGCTCGCCCGCTCCGACAGAGATTGGTACGAGCGCCGCCGGCAACGATTCAAATCCTTTGACGAGCCCGACGACAATGCCTATTCACACGAGACACCCCCGTCGCAAGGCTTCTTTTATGAAGCTTCGCAGACGCTCCTGCATTCAGGACGCGGGGACGACAAGGACAATGGCGGAGGGAAACGGCAGCCCAAGAAACTTAGGCTTCTATGGGCTTCGCCTTTTGCCGCCGTCATCCTTGTCACTCAGCTCCAGATGATGGCCCGCGAACTCACGCATGCTAGTTGTCTACTGGAACGGCCCAAAGCACAGCGCCGAGCCCTTTCCATCTTGACAGACAAGCAGCACGCACAGATATCGCAGGCACTGAAAGGGATTGCCGAGTTGGTACCGCGTAACCAGAAGCCCGTCTTCAGTTTCTTTGACTTTGGGCGCATGGACGTCCTTCCAGACGGCTCGGATCAGACTCCGCTATGGCACACGTTTTGGATACTATGGTACTACACATCCATAACTTTATCACACCCGGACTCGCTCTTGGTGAGCGGTGTTGTTGAGTCTAACCTTCCTCTGGCAATAGCTAGTAAGTTTCGTTTCTGCAGTTGATCTATGATATGTGATTAACTTTGGGTAGCCGCCGGCCACCTTGCAACACCACGCTCCAAGGACAAGCGAGATATTTACGAAGACAGGGATGTTTTTAGAATAGTAGGAGACATTATACCCATTTTTCCTGCTGCGCGTTTACTCACAATGGTTCCCCTTGCAGCTCAACGATCTCGAAATGGCCCTCGATCTGTTAAACCCTATAAAGTCGACCGCACCGCCTTCTCTCGAAAATCCCTTCATCACACTGCTCGGCTTCAAGATCTGCCTCGTAGGCTGGCGCCTCGTACGTCTCACAATGCCCGCGGCTCAGCGCAGCAGCGTCGGCGATATGACTGGGCATGGTGGGATGGGTATGGGACTGGGCATGGGAATGGGGAACAATGCCAACAGCCGCTCTAACCCCAGTCGCTTTGTTCTGGATGCCATCATGGCCTGTGTCGGGAATGCCGGAGACGATGATGTCGAAAATGCGGCGGCTGCGCTGGCTATGTTGGATGACAGGCCTGTTGACCTTGCACGGAGTGAGGTGCGGTTCCTGGAATGGATCGTTGCCAACTTCAACAAGCGCACGACTTGGCCGGTTGGGAAGTGGGTGTCTACGGTTATGGAGGAGAGCCTTTCCAAGGCGAGGGAAGCGTATGCAGCACCACTTAGTGAATGAAGTAATGACTTTGATGCCGTCGACGCTTTATGTAGCAGAAACCGGAAAAATATTGGCTCCGACCTATTTCGCTTGTCCATGCTCGATCCTCGGCATCGAATAAGTTACTAAGTGATGAATTTGACTTCGCATACCATCTTACCTGATTGAAGCAGGCGTGCCTTTTCCTTGGGAGGATCAGACTGCGATAATCCAGCACAGAGAGACTTATTGATAGTCATACAAGGAATTGTTCTTACTTCCACTCATCTATTGAGGTTTGAAATTACGTTCGACTGGCCAGTATGCTTAGGGAAGTAACCTGAGCGCGAAATTTCCAGACTTCAAGTTACGGACCACGATCCGCGTACCCCTGCGCAACATCATTTAAGAACTTCATCACGCGAGATCCTAGAGTTTTGAATAATAATTCATTTCAATTCAGTGCAAGAATGTGCGCCAACCCATTTAAAAAAGATCAAGACACTATACAGCCCATCTCCTAACAACAACGCTCAACATCCTCCTTCAAGCAGTGCCAGTCTTGACAGTAGGCAAGCTATACTGCAGACGTGGGACATTATCAAACTTTCCAAGCGACTTGTGGCCCTCGGGGTCGGTGTACTCGCCATCAAAGGGGTCCTGGTGAACACCCTCCTCACGAGGGCGGTCAATGTCAAAGTCGTAGCGCTTCCATCCGTGCTTTCTCGCGTCGAGGTAATCGGCCATGCAGAAGATGCGCTCGTCGATGGGCTTGTCGGTGCCCATGCGCTGAAGGAGAGGCGAGTCCTCGATGGGAACGAGCTCGCGCTCGTCGGCGGGGCGGGAGAAGTAGATTACGCCGATACGGCGGAGGTGGCGCTGGTCCATGGGCGGCTCTGTTTTGCTTGTATTAGCTTTGGAACATTGCATAGTGTGTTTGTGGTGTTTTCTTACGGATGACTCTGTGGATTGTAGCCTTGAAGAGGCCGCCGGTGAGGCGCTCGAGGGCCTCGCCAAAGTTGACAACGATTCCGTGCGGAACGTGACGGACGTGACGGTATCTGCCAGTCTCGTGGCAAAGAACTTGCAGTGCGGCGACGGGCTGGGAGAAAAGGAATGTCCAAGTGCCCCTAGACATGGTATTAGGGCTGCTTCCCATCAGATGGGGCGGTAATGGGTACAGCTTACCAATCGGTGTGTCCAGCAAGGAAGATATCACGGTATTTTTCACTCTCCTCCTTTGATCGAGGTTCGCACATCATATATCTCAGGTATTCCGTCTTGGATCCACCAGGGGCGTGTGTGGAGAGGACCTTCTCCTCGGGAACTTCAAGAACCATGGACACAAGCTTCAGCAGCTTGACCAAGATGTTGGTTCGAATGTAGCTCATGACCTCGTACGTCTCATCCATGAACGGACGGATGATCTCGGGATGGGGGCGGTCCTTGCTGGTGACGGGTCAGTACATGTACACAGTCTAGCTTCTCGACGTGCAGGAAATCACTGACGGATCATGGACAAGCATGTTGTAGTGGTCCAGGGCCTTGGGGAAGCCACCCTTGTGACCAAGGGGCCCTGCAGGCTTGTATCCGGCGTAAAGTCCACGAGCATCTTCTTCGGGAGTTACTTTGATCGAGATTAGCATGGTTCTTTAGGGACGGTGGTGATGGAGTATGTACCTTCATAGGGAGCCTTCTCTTCAGGCTTGAGCGTCATGGCCGCATTGGCGATGCGCATTTGGCGTTCGTAGGTCTCATTGGAGATGCCGTGGTTTGTCAGGTAAAGGAAGCCATAGCCGGTAGCGGCCTCGTAGAGGTCTTTGGCGAGCTGTTGGCGGCCCTCAGGAGTATCGAATTTTGAAAGATCAATGTTGACAAGGTCGACGTAGTCAACTATGCCGGGACAGGTCAGCTCATGCTCTTACATGCATTGGTTGGGCGCAACTTACGGTCCTCTTGTGTTGGCGGGGGCGGGCTGTACGGCGGGAGTTGGTTGATATCGGCGACCATGCTGGGCAATTTTCAGTTGGTCTCAAAGTTATACGAAGCGTTGAAGGAATGGAGACCGATATTATTGTGTCTTTTTAGTTCTGTTTGCTGGATGTTGTTGTTGTTGTTGTTGTTGTTGTTGGAGTATACTTGGACTAAACTCAGTTGAAATTGAGGATATTATATGAACCCAACTCTTGTCCCTGTCTGCTAGAACAACCAAATATTGACAAAGATGTTGACAGTAAGATACGTTCCAAATGAGCTGGGAGGACGTGGAACGATGCTCCGCGGGATGTTCGTCCACAGACACCACCCTCCATGTCCTCAAACTCGATGCTCAACCAGACGTGGAGCTTGTGGCGGCATTAACAATCCTAGCTGACGGGTCAGGTCAACCAAGACAAAATCAAGAGGAGCTGCCCTAGAGATTGCCGATCACTTGCAGTAGCCTCGTCCGCATCGCTTGCGGTTTACGAGGCAGTGGAGAAAGTGGACGTGGAGCTCCTCCCACGTAGCGCGGGGAAGAGGAGCTCCACGCAGGGATTCAACGTGGCGTCGGAATAGTGTTGCATCACACGACTCAGTCAAGAGAGGCCAATGATAAACTGTCATACAACATACTCGTTGCCTCGGATGCCTTTCGTGGCCCGGGATTTGTCGTCAACTTCCTGGAGTAGTCAAGGTAACATACTCTCAGTATATCGACTGGTCCCACGGAAAAGCGGCGGGCATGGAGAACAGCCCTTCAACCGACTCAATCCAGTCCAATGGCTGGAGACCAATCTCGTCAAAGGATGGCAGATGACTTGTGTCATCGTCGTTCTCATCATCATCATCGACTCGATTGAAGGCGCTCACATCATCAACCTCATCGGATTGCACCCTTTCCTCTGAGCCCCGACTTCTGGTGGCATCACCTCTGGCTCCTCCTTTATGAAACCACAAGCCATTGAGAAGCTTCGCGTACTTGGACGCAATATGGTCGGTATCGGTCGCTGCAGTTTCTAGAACTCCTACAAATCGCCGCATCAGGCTGGCAGTCTGGGCGTGCTTCCCAGACGAAATCGCGCCGGCGGCATGGGCTTTATAGAGAAACACAGCTGAGTGGATCTCGTATCTGATCTCACAAGTCAGTTTCGACCTTGGAGCTGGAGAGGCTGGCGGTTCTGCACTTACAGGTAAAACCGAGCTGGCATGTATCGCAGGTGTCTCTCCGGATCAATGTCTTCAATTGCAATCCTGAGCAGTGCCTCTGCAGCATCAACAGCCTCATAAACCATTCGTGCATCCGGGCTTGCCATGGCAGAGTGGGGAAAACACGAGACTCTCGCCACGTCCATTCCAGACAACGATGCTCTGTAGAGGACAGCTTGAAAAGCAAATGCGTTCACGTAGAGACGTAGGTACTTTTCCATCATTCTTAAACAGCACTTGAGGTGGGAGGGAGCCGTCAATTGAGTCCAAACCAAATCCCAGGCAACGATAGCGCGACTGGCATCATCAATGTACTTGGTGTAGTCCCCACGAACCATGAGCTCAGCAGTCCGTTGCTTGGAAGCAAATAGGATGTCATGGGCGTTGCCGAAGAGAGTAGTGAGCTCAACCTGCGCTTGAAGCAGGGACGCAAAGTCGTCTCCGGATGCATATTGAGGCTGAAGGGAGGGGAAGTCCTCCGCGGTGAACCGAGCTGACAACGCAGGGCCACGGGACCAGAAAGCCTGGCCCATGCGGATAGATATCTGTCGGTCGGAAAGGTAGGTAACTGAACAAAAGCTTGTAAGCAGAGCGTCTCTAGTCTCCCGAGGTGAGTACTAACACGTCCACGCAAGACGCCTTCTAAGCATCGCAGGGTCAGCCTCTTTGTCTGCCCGAAACGAGCTCTCTTCCAACCGTAGCAGATACGCAAGCCGAACGCCCAAGCCGACTATAGACCAAGCAGCCCCTTCACCTCCATCATCATTCTGCCCGAGGGTGAGGGGCGTCCACTCTCCCAGCAATAAGAGACCCTCTACGCAGCCGACGCTGCGGATCGTGGACATTCCTAGCACAACATCGAGTATCAGGTGTCGCATATGGGCCCATATTGATTGGTGTAGCTCTGCCAAATCTGATCGATCTCGCGAAGCCACTACGAGGGCCGCCGTGAGGAGAAAAGACTCGTGTTTTATCGTCTCGTGAAGGTATTGCGGGAGGACAACGTTGGATGGCACTATCGGGAAGTAGGGATGGTAATTAGTTGCATAGCTACACATGTCAGCGATGCTCATGCGAGACAAGCAATTTCAACTCACTGTTGTAAAAGATGGTGTAGAAGAGGCGCATCCAAAGCGCCATTCTTGACTGGTGGGTACTCCCCAATATCTCGCTCGATAGTTGCTGGATTTACCGGAGAGCCGAATGGCAACAACGGATCTTGGCGAGTCTGTTGAACCGGTGAAAGTATCGAGCCTAGGGCTGAAGATGCGTTGCCGGGAGTCGAGTCGGCAGGGTTGTCCAAGGGAGGCCCGTCACCTTCTTCATCCTCGGCTGCTCGGGCGAGTATGAGTAGCGCATCTGAGGGGTTCTGAAGGGATCGATGCAACGGCTCTTCCCGGACTCTCGGAGTTTCTGCCACGGACTCTGGAGCAGCGAAGGATGCCGTTGGTGTTGTTGAGATTGCTGGATGAATATCACTGTCTCGTCGTTGTCTTTTGCTGCCCCGGTACTGTGAGAAGTCACCCCCGCGCCGAGAGCCAGCGAGTGAGCATTCGGCTCCCTCGCGGACGCATTTTGCGCATGGCGGCTTCCCGCTGTCTCCAATACTATTTATTACTTCTTATTAGCCCAAGGGAAGCCAAGAATGAGAACAATGTTGGGCTTGAACAAGGTTCTAAGGAATGATGCCCTTCTCGAGATGGCTCAAACAGAACGCGTTGTAACTGCTGTAAGGAAAGTGACCCACAAGTCGCACCGCGTCTTTCGAGCGCGGCATCTCACGCATGCTCGGTATTGTCTGACTCCAGTAGCTTTCGTCATGGCTTAGGTCCCGTCCGGGGAAGAGATGGGGT